GTTTCAGCTCCCCACGGTCTTCCCGAACCAAGACTCCACTAACCGCGTGGTTTGAAACTGATACGTACAAGTAAAGTTTTTCATCCACTTCCGGTTTGGACAGTATAGGTGGAGTGGTTAAGTATGCCTTAAGCTGCCCAAACGCTTCTTCACACTTCTCATCCCAAAGGAATCCTTTGTTCCCTTTTAGAATTTGGTAGAAAAGCAACGACTTATCTGTTGATCTCGAGATAAAACGATTCAAAGCCGCAATCCGCCCAGTCAACCGTTGTACTTCTTTGAAGTTTTTTGGAGATGGCATGTTTAGAAAGGCGTTAATTTGATTTGGATTGGCTTCAATCCCTCTTTCTGTCACGATATAGCCAAGAAATTCTCCGGATGGGACTCCAAATGTGCACTTCGCCGGGTTCAGCTTCATTTGATATTTATTGAGAATATCAAAACATTCCTCCAAATGTTTAACATGATCTTCTTTCTTCAACGATTTAACCAGCATATCATCTATGTAGACTTCCATAGTCTTTCCGAGGTGATTGTGAAACATTTTGTTCACCAACCGTTGGTAAGTTGCTCCTGCATTTTTCAAACCAAAAGGCATTACCTTGTAACAGTAGATACCTCTATCTGTGATAAATAACGTCTTTTCTTGATCTTCGGGGTTCATCATTATCTGATTATAACCCGAGAAGGCGTCCATGAACGTTAACAGCTCATTTCCAGCGGTGGACTCTACAAGTCGATCTATATGCGGGAGCGGGAAACTATCTTTGGGACATGCTTTATTCAGGTCTGTAAAATCGATGCAAACCCTATCTTTCCCATTCTTTTTCTTGACAACGACAGTGTTTGCTACCCATTCCGGATATTGCACTTCTCTTATGGACCCTATCTTCAAAAGTTTATCCACTTCGTCATTTACTATTTTTGCCCACTCCACTCCAAGCTTTCTTCTTTTTTGTTTCACCGGTTTGAAGCTTGGATCCACGTTTAGTTCATGACAAATTATACTCGGATTTATGCCAGGCATGTCCGCTGCTGACCATGCAAATGATGCTTTGTTTTTCCTTAAGAGTTCGATCAAAGCTTCTTTTATTTGGCCAGTCAACGTTGCTCCGATTCGAATTTTCCGATCTGGTTTGTCTTCTTCCAATACCACTTCGACTACCACATCCTCTTTTCCCTGCCCACTAGGAAATTTTTGCCTTTGTCCTTCTTTTGCGGGCTTTGTTAATTGCTATTGGATCTTCAAACGGTGGCTAGCTAAGTAACACGTCCGTGAAGCTTCTTGATCTCCCCGAATTGTTTCCACCCCATTTGATGTTGGAAATTTGATACATTGATGGTATGTAGAGGGGACTGCTTTCATCCGATAAATCCAGGGAGTCCCGAGGATGATGTTGTAAGCTGCGGGCTTATCGAAGACAACGAAGTCCACGATCTTCGATACCTTCTTGGCAAGGACCGGTAGCTTGATTGTTCCGAGAGACATGGCTGACTCGCTTGTGAACGCAACTAACGGAGATGGGGGTCCTACTATGTCTCCTCGGCTGATTCCCATTTTTTCTAGAGTACTTAAAAAGCTCAAGTCGACCGAACTGCCTGTATCTATAAGGATCCTTGATACTTCGAAGTTAGCGACATCAAGAGTAATGACTAGAGCATCATCATGCGGTCTTTCGAGATGCCGCGTTTCTTCTTCGTTAAATGATATTGAGGCACCTTGAAAATCAATTTCCTCGCTCAAGCTTGCTTTGAGTAAGACATTTCGTCTATGTTTTTTGATGGAACTTATTGAATCTCCGCAAAATCTGGAACCTCCTAGAATCACATTGATCTTACCCTTCGAACTCCTTGGTTCTTCCTCGTTGGATAACCTTGGTCTTTTGGAATCTTGATCTTTGGAGTTTTCCTTTGCTTCGTGGTATTCCTTCACAAAATCTTTTATATCGAATTTGGAAAGATCGCCACTAGCCCAAAGCTCTGCGAGGTGCTTTTTAAGAACGCTGCAATCCTTGGTTAAATGTCCGGTTACTTTATGAATGTCGCAATATAGACTTTCATCACGGACCCAAGTGTTTGATCTTCCTTTCCCTTGGAATTGCTTTCCGACGGTATTGTTGAAGGGTTGCGACCCAAACTTCTTTGGTCCTTTGCTCTCCCTAGGCTCGAACTTCCTGGCAGGGACGGTGATTGCTGGCTTTTCTTGCTTATTTCTTTTGGCAAAACTTTCTTTTTCGTCCTCTACCTCCATCCAATTGTTCTCGCGAAAGAGTGCATCCTGAATTGTGTCTGGTTTATGAAGTATTAAGTCTTCTTTAAACCTTGAATCATGTCGCAATCCTTTTCGTAGGGCAGATAAAGCTGACTGCTGCGAGATTCTTGGGAGTTTTGACAGCACTCCTTTGAATTTGGTGATGAAAGCTCGAAGTGGCTCATTAGATCCTTGCGATAAGTTCCAAAGATCGGCATCTGAAACGCTTTTATCCATAAGGATGGAGTATTGCTTTAAGAATACGGCTGATAGTTCGTCGAAATTGCTGATCGAACCCGGCTCTAATTGGGTGAACCACATTAGAGCTTGGCCACACAGATTCTCCGAAAAAAGCTTGCAGTAACCTGCATCCTCATCAGCTTCATCCAACTCGACTCTTCCAGCAGCGATCAGAAAAGCTGCGAGATAGCTTTTTGGATCCTCCAATCCGCTGTAAGGGTCCAACTTGAGTTTCCGGGAATCTTTGATCCTCAAACTTGCAATTCGCGGGATGAAAGGGGTTCGCCTAGCTTCTTCAATGACTCGATTGATGTCTGGCTCCGAACTTGTAGCCTGATGAAATTTTGATTTCATTTCTTTTAATTCCTGGCTCACCTTCCTCATGGTCTCGAACTGGTCGAGGTTCTCCTGCTCGTACTGAGCTGCAAGTTGTTCTTCATCCCCAAGCTGCGTCTCTTCCTCCAACGTCTGAGCTACATTATTAGTAGCACCGGGAGTTGTTTGTCCGCTGGTTTCATTTCGTGCAGCGGAACTTGGCGAGTTGAATATCCCTCTTCGGATTCCCACCGGGTTTCCTGCACTTAAAGAGCGAACACGAGTTTGTATAGTATTGACGTTTTGACTAAGAGATACCTGGGATGTTTGCAACGTATCGACGGCCTTTTCCACATCCGAGAACTTTTGTGATATGTCCGACATGGTTTGCTGCATAGCTTTGAGGGTTTCGGCCAATGATGTCTCAGCGGCGTCTCCTCCGGACATTGTTGCTTATCTCGGAAGTGTGATAAAGAAAAAATCTGACCACTCAAGAATCTCTATCCCCACAGACGGCGCCAAAATGTGGATGTCGGATTCACACACTCAAGTATTTTATTAAGTAGGAAAGATTATTCTTGAGGGACAAAAATGAATATGTAAAAGCTTGTAAATTGCTATAAAAATTGCTATAATATTTCTCTCTTAAGAAAAAGATCCCCTTTACATGGCCATTGGCCTCTATATTTATACATAGAGAAACGACATTAAAATGAATAATTAAGTACAATTATTCCTTCTTAAATGTGTCCGTTTTGATTCTTCGACTTTAATGCTCAACGTTTGAATTTGAGTTGACTCTGATCTTCATGGGCCTCGCCTTTTTGGCCCAAGTATCCTTGAACCGTCTTACCCGTGTCTTCTACACCGAACTCGTGTCACAGTGCAGTCACTTCGGATTCTCGAAATGGTGACCACCACTTCGACCGTCCCTTCGGCTCACGGGTCCAATGGGCTTCATCCTTTATGGGCCATTGTCTTGACTACATGGCAATCTTTGGTTGGTCTCGTACTTCTGGTGCGGGATCCGACACCAACATCGAGGTACTGATATTGCATATCTTCTCTTATACGTCGATGATATTGCTCTCACGGCCTCGTCTCCTGCACTCCTCAACTCGATCATCGCTTCTCTTCACTCAGAATTTGCAATGACGGATCTCGGTCCGCTCCACCACTTCCTTGGCATCTCTGTAACACGCAATGCTCAAGGAACATTTCTCCAGCAACAAAATTATGCCGCTGACATTATTCATCGCGCCAATATGACAGCTTGCAATCCGTGTTTGACACCCGTTGACACAAAACCAAAGCTGGCCTCGAATGATAGTCCTCCTGTAGCTGATCCAACATTGTATAGGAGTCTCGTTGGTACGCTCCAATATCTCACTTTTACACGCCCCGATATATCCTACGTCGTGCAGCAAGTGTGTCTCTTCATGCATGATCCACGGGAATCCCATTTCAATGCCCTCAAACGTATTATTCGATATGTGAAAGGGATAATCTCTCACGGTCTTCAGCTCTACAAGTCCTCATCAATGAATCTTATTGCTTACTCGGATGCGGATTGGGCTGGGTGTCCTTCGACTCGTCGTTCAACTTCGGGTTTCTGTCTATTCTTAGGTGACAACATCATTTCCTGGTCGGCGAAAAGACAACAAACAGTGTCCCGTTCTAGTGCCGAAGGGGAGTATCGTGCGGTTGCAAATGATGTTGCGGAGATATCTTGGTTACCGAATCTGTTTCAAGAGATGAAATGCCCGCTTCAAAAGACGTCACTGGTTTTTTGTGACAATGTCAGTGCGGTGTATCTATCGTCTAACCTGGTACAACACCAGCGCACTAAACACATAGAGATTGACATTCACTTTGTCCGAGAACGCGTTGCTCTTGGCCAAATCAAAGTTCTCCATGTTCCATCCTCTCTTTCAGTTCGCCGATAAATTCACAAAGGGACTGCCAACATCGCTATTCCTCGACTTTCGGTCCAGTCTGAGTGTTCGAAAACCTCCAACTCCGACTGCGGGAGGGTGTTAGAGGAAATATAGGAGAATATATATAGTTAGTCTTATCTCTTTGTATATAGTTGTCTAATGATCAATCTCAAGGTACGGAGTTTACCTTATTTAAGTTTCAACAATTGACTTATGATTTGTTTTGTTGTGATCAAGTTGATCTTAAGATAATAATTTTAAAATTAAAAGTCTAGCTAGGCCTTGTGGTTTGTGAAAGAGTAAGACAATAAGTTAACCACCACCAAATAATTTGTTTACAAATTCATTGCAATATACTAGCATTATTGACTTAGAATTGGTCTTTGTATATGTCTCAAAATAATAATTAGGACCCACAACGTGGAAATGTCAAAGCTTTGTATAAAAAAACTATAATGAGTACGAAATAATTTAATAAGTATTACTTGTAGACGACTTGGTGTCGAGTTGGTCTTAAAATAATAATTTAAACACAAAATTTGGAGATGTCTACATATATATGCTTTGTGTCAATGCAGATTTAGATTGACTTTTGATTGGAGCGACGAGATATAGTAGAAACCAAAAGTGATAAATGGAAGGCCCTTTGCTAACCAAGAGTGAGCACATCAAAATCGATGGTGATTCTTCATCGAATGATGAGCATAATGTCAACATTACAATCACTGACGATTCTTCATCAACACCACGTGAAGCCAAGGCTGTTGAACGGTGTATTCCTTCTTGCACAGGAGAAATGGAGTGGTGTTGTTTCATCGAGTTTGTTCTCAATATTGTCCAAATTGTTGCAGCTTTTGTAGTTGTGAATCGGGCAAAAGATGAACATCCAGAAACATCATTTCTTATATGGATCATCGGTTACACTTGTGGCTGTGTTGCTATTCTTCTTATTCAATTTATAAACTGTGTTTCCTCAAGGTATACACTAAATTTATTGTTTTTTTAAAAAAAAAACATTAGAAACCGAGATCAATAATAGTTTTATTTTTTTTGCAGAAGCTACGAGGTGATCATAGACTTTGTGACGGAGATATTTGAATATTTCTTTGTGGGTTGGGTTTTGCTGTTTCTTTGGATTTATCATAGCAGTTCATCATCTCTATATGATAATACTCAACATTTCTGGTGAGCATCAAACGAAAATTTACAATGATGTCGTTAAAACAAATTTAACTTTCTAATAATATTCACAATTGTCTTTTTGCAGGTTATGTATGGCTTTTCTTGCTTTCACTTGCATTCGATATATACCGGCTCATTTAATATTTTCAGCGATATGCTTCCTTTTCGTTGTGATAATATGGATTTGCGCCGCTGTGTTAGGCACCACCCCTAATACGTTTGTTTATGTTGCATTCCTTATAATTGTCATTGGAATTCTTAAAGTAGTTCAAGAGGTTCTTCAATTGCATTTTTGAATTCTAAGTATTGGAAACACTTGTAATCGTTTTTTCATGAATATAGTTGAGTTTTTGACAAAATATATTGAAAACAGTTTCCATTAATGATAAACGAGCGAGGTTCCTAGAACATGTCCAACTAATATCATTAAGATATTATCGTTAGGTTTGAAACAATCAATAAAAAATAATCCACTCTTCTGACACTAATCACCTAATTATGCTAAATTCTCATTTCAAAATAAACATCGCAATCGAACTCTAAACGCTCACTAATCACCTTAATATCAACTTTCGTTAGTTAGGAAAGTGAAGCCTAGGTTCAAAAATTGAGTAATAAAATCAAATCTAGTATGAATCACAATCCTAAATGAGGGCTCTACCATGAAGCAATTCTAAACATCATAATATAGCTTAATCCATGGCAATAAGAAAATTAATCATTAATTATGAACAAATATCTTAATTAGTTTTGGTTGAGCTATTGCGTAACACAACTGCTTTTCAAGGGAGGATTGAATCGTCTGCCATGAGGAGAGCGTACCGCGGTTGTAACAATGAGAAGGGAATATCGGGATGGCGAAGGTTATATGGGTACCGATCGAGGGTGTTAACCGCAAGTGAAGAACTGTGTAATAGAACAATGTAGTCGAGAGGTTCTCTGTATAACGGGTCCTAAATAGCATACATTGTGCTAAGCCGTCTTAAATAACTTTTGGCCAATCGATTTTGTTGTTGTTGATCCAGACCGATCACTTACATGTGTTTGTTAACTAAATGTTGAATTGTTTTGCTGTCCTCTTAGCTAGTTCGATCCTCTTTACCAGAAAACAAAAAAAAAGTTTCAAATATAAGAGATTCTTTTCAGAGAAAAGGAGCAGAGAACATCTGGAAACAACTCTCATGAGAAGATGAAGAAGAAGAATCAATCTGCTTGTTAATGATGCTACCATCATCAAGCTTAAACACACTAACATCTTCCCCGTCATTGAAGTAGATAGCATTCTCCAAACATCCATAGTACTCGGAGGCTAAGACCAAAAAACAACTATCCGTAGCCACAATGAGTGCCTTGTCTCCCAAGGAACTGACCTCAACCCATTTTACCAAATTCTTGTCCATCTTGTAAACCTTAAAACCAACGGTTCTCTCTCTAAGAACTCGATTTACGCGAAATTTCTTACAGAAACGATGAATAACGCAGAGATCTCCACAATACTCGACGAATCTCTTTTCTTTGCAATTATCAATGTCGTAGTAGTCTAATGGAGTTGAAGGTCCGAATTGATATATGCTGAGTTCAGATAAACTAATCCACCAAATTGCTCCGGTTAAGTCGAATGCATAGACCTTTCCTTTGTGAAGTATAATATCCAAAAAACCTTCAGCTTCTTCATTGTTTATTCTTGTCCAACGTATACTTTCTTCTCCGCTTTTGCAACACCAAATTTCGTTTTTGAAGTCAACTACGAAAAACATATTGTTTAGGAAAACAACTCTAGCCGAATTCGCAGAAGACTTATAACCTACGATAACATCTCTACCCGAAACACGTTTTGTAATCTCGGTCAAGTACTGAACGTTGTAAGATTGACGAATTTCCGAAACACCGAGCTTCATAAGGTCTAGGGTTTTGTCGGAAGGGGTGATGGGCTTGCCAGACAGAGGACACAAGAGATTATTCTTACTAGATTCAGAGACTTGTCTGTTTTTAATCAGCCACCCTTTGTTAGGACATGGAGAAGGGAGAGTTACACGGAAGAAAGTGGTGGGAGAGACAACAGTCTTTGTCTTCTTGAAAGTAGGAAGGTTACGTTCAAAGTGGTTATGGAGACGCTTCTTGGTCGCAATCGTGGAACGCCAGGGTTTACAGATGCTACGGAAACGGAGGAGATTGATGTTGGAAGATAAATTATTAGCTAACAAAACTATGAGATCTTCATGTAAATCAGACCACCCAACTTTACCCATCTCAATCTCTATCTCTGTGTTGTTGTTACTTGTTACAGACGAAACCTAAGAGTTTTCACGAAACTGATTTAGGAGATATGTGTTTATAGCTCTCTCATATCAGTTTAGGAATATATTTGCGCAGGATAAAGCGTAAGATTTAACGATACTAATCAAAAATGGAAATACACGGTGGAATTTCCTTTATAAAATCGAAAGATATTACCTTTTTTTTTTTTTTTTTTGTTTAACGTAACTTGTTCCCCAAGGTATTTCAGAAAACTTTTTTTTTTGGTTTACAATTTTATATGGAGATTTTGTAATATTTTTATTTTATTTTTTATTCTTTTTAGGTAATGTTTTTTTGCCATTGTTTGGACTTTGGAACTTTGGAAGTTAACGTCATAGAAATTCCACCATTGAACTGAAGATATAATATTAGATTAGTAAATTGTAAATGGAAAAATTCAAAACTGAAGAAAAAAAGATTCAAAAATTCAATAGGAAAGCAAACCTTGAACATATGTTTCATCATTTTTGGAACATCCTTTAATGGTTGTTGGATGCCCAAAGTTTCTACCTGTTTTGTTTATTACGTTGCTAGTTTAGTGTTGATGACAAATGTTTGTGTATCAATTATGAATCTGCTTCTTTATCTGGCCAGGCAAAGAAGTCCCTGAAGAGTTCACTCAAAAAGCTATAGGAAACTGCATAACCATCGGTCTAGGTCCGGGTGATGAGGGGACTCAGTTTGTGTCCTCAAGATTTAAGGCTTGCCTTCTGCTTTCTCTTACCAAGAACTATGTTTTTTTTTCTGTAACTTGTCGTTTAAGAAACCAAGGAGGTGCCGTCATTAATGAACTTGATTAGGGGTGGGCATTCGGGTATGCGGGTCGGGTTCGGGTAAAACCCGATCGGGTACGGGTCTTTCGGGTAGAGGAGTTTAGGACCCAATAGGGTAAATCTAAAATATCGGTTCGGTTTCGGTTCGGGTCTAATCGGGTTCGGGTCGGTTCGGGTTTAGATTTTTAGAACCGCTAAATACCCGAAAAAATCGGGCACCCATCGGGTTCGGGTATTTTATACCCAAATACCCAAAATTTTACCAAATACCCGAATTTTACCCGAAATTTTACTCTAATATCCGAATTTTATCTGCAATTTTACTCAAATATCCGAGTTTCACCCAAAAATTTATCCGAATAACCGGAATTAAGTCCAAATATTTAAAAAATTTACAAGCATCTCGCGTATTTATATATTTAGTCTTAAATATATAAATATAAGTGCATTTAATTTTTGGTAATTACTCTCGGATATTTGGATATAAATGTATTTAGCTCAAATATTACATATATATAAAGTTTTTATATGTATAAGTATAAGTAATTTCGGGTAATCGGGTACCCGTTCGGGTATCGGGTTCGGATCGGGTTTTACCCTATACCCACGGGTACGACAATACAAGACCCAATAGGGTAAATAGCTAATACCCGTACCCGCCCCGAACCGGTTTTTTCGGGTCGGTTTCGGTTCGGGTACTCGGGTACGGTTTTTTTGCCCAGGCCTAAACTTGAATATGAGTCATGGACAATGTCTTCATGGTGACCTGTTTGATATCAACAAAACAAATTAAAAGCCCTGAATTGGATGTCACAACAAGTGAGATTCTGTTTGAATTTTTTTGCTATATACATTATTGTATTGTGGATATGTATGGTGTATGTGTATCTAAAGCAAAGCCTACAACTACAAGTCGCTGGTTCGAGTGGTATTTGAGAGAAAATCATATTAAATGCTCTGACATCCGTTCTGAGGGGATATACGAGCCTATCTCAGAACTTCTTAGTAATTCAAAAAAAAATCAAAATTTCAAATAAATACGTTTTTCTTTTATTTTAATTTTAAATGATAAATATGTGAACAGATCATTTTCGTATATTTTATTAACTGTTATGTGAATAAGTTCCATTACAAAATGGTAAAAACGACGGTCACATAAGATGTCTTATTAATTTAATTTATAACAGAAAGCCGGGAAATATGAAGAGAGAAAGCTGAAATCAAGTTGATTTCTTGTCGGAGTTAGAGACGAGCCACGAAGAGAAGTTATGGAGAGTGGTGTTATCGACTCGATAGCCAGACTGGGTAAATTTCTGAAGCTGAGCCCAAGTAAAGTCAGGGTACTGTCTAGAAGCTTCTTTGCCTTCAACAAGTTCAGGAGGAGGTACGATGGTCTTGTCTTCTCTAGGACAAGAGAAGAACACTAGTGACCTTCTCACTTTCTCCTTGTTTACCACTGCCCTATGGTAACAACTCTTGTAGTTTCCATTTGACAATGCCTTTCACATCAAATCCAAAATAAATAAATAAAAAAATTATATATTGTATATTATAAAAGTGTTTTTAATTTTATGATGAACAACCCAAAAAAAACAAGTTAGTGATTTATCCTTCCACCAGTAAATGTCGAGTAATATCCCCATTTTGTCAAAACACTGGCATTTGCATTAAAAAGTTAAAGCATTATTTTTTGGAAATTTGTTTTGTATCTAATAAATTTTGTCATTGTTGAGAAAATCTGGTAGCCTTATTCATTAAAAGGTAACGTACCATGAAGGTGTCTCCAACGTTGACGACAAGAGCACCAGGACGAGGCCGCACGGTCTGCCACCTATCTCCAGCAAAGACCTCTAAGCCCACAACATCGTCTTGAAGCAAAACGGTTATAGCCGTTGGGTCATTATGGGGACCAACACCAAGGGCTTTCTCTGGCTGCTTGCACGGCGGATAATAGTTGCATCTAAAGATGCCACTTCCATCTTCGAAGAATCTCCGGTAGTATGTCCTGTCTTTTAAACCCATACTTATTCCTAGTAGCTTCATCAAATCCATAATCAATCCGTTCATTGCATCACAAAATTCTTGGAACACTTGACTGAAACAAAACCAAGAAGTTCCAAGGAACAAAACATAACAATTAAAAATGTAAACATTTATCAAATAGGATTTTTTAACATTTAGTATCGGATGTCCGGAATTCGTAAAACTGCCCAACTAATCCCAAGGTGAGCAAACCGTTGGTAAGGAGTTTTATATAACTTCACCACCGCTAAATCACCCGAGCCTAAACTCAAGTGGTCCACGGGCAATGTGTACATTGTGAAATGAAAGATGGGCCGTAGAGCGTTTATATTCTTGGCACTAGACTCAATATCATTGTGCCACCACACACGAGATTCAAGTAGGGTTTCTCATAGAGTTAAAATATGCATGCAATTAATTTACCCGATCTCTTGACGATGGTTGCCTAGCCTTGAGGTTAGGAATTCCTCAACAACATGGGGTGGCCCTTTTTTGAATGCCAAAGTCAAAGTCTCATTCCATGGAAGATTGGAGGAGAATCTCTGGCTATGACCCGCAGTATAGCCAGAGATATTCCCCGGGATCCTATAAGCCTTTAGCTTCTCATCCTTGGATAGCCCAAAGAACAAACTCGATATCTCAAGCGCCTTTTCAGCTAAGCCTGACTTGAAGCCATGATTGACCACTAGAAACGTACCATGAGCCATGCACGCTTCTCTCACTGCCTTAGCTGCAAGTTGCGTCTCGGCCTCATTGCCATTCAAGAACCCACTCAAGTCGATGATTGGGAGGTCGAGGTCGCCTTCTGAAGGGGCAACGTCTTTTTCCGGCCAGAAGAATTCAGCTGGAACATTTGGTTGGTTTTGGAGTAGGGAGAAGTTGACGTCGGAGGAATTCATTTCTCTTGAATTGGGTCCTTTGAGTTTGAAGGGATTTAAATAGGGGCAGACTGTGACTGTCCTGTTAAGGACAGTTTTGTCTATATACATATATGCACATTTTTTTTTTTTTTAGTTTTATCCTTTTTCATATTTTATCTTATTATTGATATCGGCCATGATTGTTTACAAAATCATACATTGCATTAACATGTTAGTCAAACGATAACGCAAATCGACATATATAATGTCTGAAATTTCTATACAATAGCATTCACACTTCAGAACACAAATCAAATTTTCTTTTATGTTTATGCTTCGTGTCACGTTTCGAATTTTAAATAATTGTTATTTCCATGTTCACATATACAGATTTAATTTCTATTATAGTCTTTTATACACACGTATTTATTTGTTTATTTATTTAACATCTGGCACCTTTATTTATCAAGATAAGATAGAACTCGCCTAATGTAGACATATATGTATTTTACCACATATAAGAAGAATAATATAACAGATGTAATGCAATATAATATCTACTGTTAAAATGTTTCTTTTCCAGTACACTTCAAAACTTTTTTCCATGTCTGATAAATTCAATTTCAAGTAAAAATGATATCTTTCCATTTACTATACAAATTAGACTGGAATTTGTAAGCTATGTAGCCTATTAATTTGTAAGCTATTATCCTATAAATCCATAGTGTACCCCATGACAAAAAAGGATAATCAACATTGGATCAGCCTAGAAAACGTTGTCATTGGTGATTGGGAATGAGTCATGTGATTGTATAAATTTTTTTTATTATTATTATCATGAATTCTTGGAAAATATTACATTTTACATTAATATATTTATGAATTTGTACACCGTTTCAAAAATCTCAAAAATATTTAAGTAGCTTCCCAAGGTCTCAACTAATCTACAAAAATATGTTTGAGATTTTTATAATTTATGGAGCCATGAGAGAGCCAATACCATAAAACCAAAGAATATAATGGTTTTGGATAAGACCGCAAAACTGGGTTGAAATAGAGTTTAAATCACATAGTTCATTCTGTAGAACACAATGTGTATGATCTAGCTAGCTCAGTTCTATTTGTCTTTGTAAAAACAAAATGTGACATTGGTGAGCATGTCGGTGCGTTATTCTAAATTCTTTATGGATCGACCCTAATACTACTTTGATTGCTTTGCACTTGAGGTAGTTTAGGAAATTAAAACTATATCATCATTGGCTGAGTTAATTTTTATATCATAATTAAAGTTCTTGAGTATATCTAAAACAAAAGAGTTGAGGTATCAAAAAGACACCAAGCATGTGATATTATTCTCAAGTACTTTCACTCATTTGATTGTAGGGATTATTGTCTATATTGCCATTTTTGGACCAAATCTTTTACCCATGCCATTTTTGATTTGGGCTTGTGGATTTGTCATTTTGGACCTCATGCAATGACGTTTTTGCCCTTGTCTTCAACCTTAGGCTATTGCTTGCCGACCACCACCGTCGTGCTCCATCGACGCATCTCCTTCTACTCCATCATCACTTTCAGTTTCAACTCTACTAATATCATCACCTTTGTTTACGATTTACAAAACGTCAACACTATTTTCTTGGATGAATTTAATAATTTTGAATGAAAAAAAAGCTAAACCCTAGATAATGACTAGTAAACCCAAGGGCTTCAATAATAAACATAGATTTAATCAAAACTTCCACTTTATCTTCAAATCTAAACCAAATCTGAAAACTACAATCACATATTTATGAAAGCTTTGAGTTTTTTTTTTTGTTTTTAAATTTCTCTTGACAAATCAAAACCCAAAGAGAAAGAGATTAGTTTAAAAGCTTTCGTCTTTTGGTCTTGCTTAAACTGGAATTGTCACCAGATCTCGTCATGGAGAAGACTATCAAGAAGCAATCAATTGAAGACAAAAGGAATTCTAATACTTCGGGATCGCTCATGGACGGAACCAGAAGAGAAGCTGCGGTTATGGAGGTTGTGGATGTCGGATTCACACACTCAAGTATTTTATTAAGTAGGAAAGATTATTTTTGAGGGACAAAATGAATATGCAAAAGCTTGTAAATTGCTACGAAAATTGCTATAATATTTCTTTCTTCAGAGGGAGATCCCCTTTACATGGCCATTGGCCTTCATATTTATACATAGAGAATTGACATTAAAATGAATAATTAAGTACAATTATTCCCTCTTAAATGTGTCCATTTTGATTCTTCGACTTTAATGCTCAACGTTTGAATTTGAGTTGACTCTGATCTTCATGGGCCTCGCCTTTCTGGCCCAAATGTCCCTGAACCGACTTGCCCGCATCTTTCACACCGAGCTCGTGTCACAATGCAGCCACTTCGAACTCTCAAAGTGGTGACAACCACTTAGACCGTTCCTTCGACTTATGGGTCCTATGGGCTTCATCCTTTATGGGCCATCATCTTGACTACGTGGTAATCTTTGGTTGGTCTCGGACTTCTGGTGCGAGATCCGACACCAACAATTAGCCCCCCAAGTTCTTCGAAGTGCTATTCCAATTCGGAGGACTTTAAATGCTTAAGTGGCCAAAGATTGCGCTCGAGAATCTTTCTGATTTCCCGCCGAAAATCTCATCGCTCCTTTAATTTCGGCACTAGCCATTTTTAACCAAGTGACATCTGTCATCATTATGACCGTATATTGATTAATTACTATTAAAACGGGAAAAACCTTCCCACTTCCCACACAACTTCCGAGGCGGTTTCATCATTAGCTTGAGGTAACTTCTTTTCACCATTACTCTCTTCTTTTATTTTTGTGCTTTAATCAAAAACTCTCTCTACTTTCCTTCACAAAACATCTCTTCGCCGGATCTTGAATTTTTTCTTTCTTCCCAATGACTTCCGATTCCGATAGACCCGAATCTCCGTCTTTTGATGAGAGGCGTTCTAGCAATGATGAGTGCACCCGCCCTAACGATATTGCCGGTCCGCACTATAGATCCACCTGCACCCTTCAGTCCCTTGAACGATTGAAAGAGCTCTGCCGAATCCCACCGGGAATTATGGCAGAGGCGCAGATAGCTGATCCTACGGAATCCCCAGAAAACCATCGCGACGGCTATTTCTGTGTATACGAGATCTATTTTAAGGGTTGCGGGCTGACCTTTCCTCTTCCCGAAGCCCTAGTTCTATACCTAGCGGCTCTTGAAATCGCTCTTCCTCAATTAACCCCCAACCTTCTCCGTACTATTCTTGGAATTATAACAATCGCGGCGGAGGCCGGTTACGTTGTCGGAGTTACTGAACTAAATGAGCTTCTAAGCGTAAGAAGTTCATCGAAGAAAACGGGGTATTTCTCAGCATATCCTAATGCCAACAGGAACATCATTTCGCATCTTCCGAACAAGGATGAAAATTGGCATCATCCTTGGTTTCTGATTAAGAAAACTCCCGCTTCGATTGGAAATCTTGCAGATTTTCTCCCTTCGAAGTGGTCCACGAAACCCGGTAGAGATTAGGTCGCCCGTATCTTTCTCGGTTGTTTCTTTATCTTTATTGACTAACACCGTTGTTTCATTTCGCAGCTTTCGTCGATTCCACCCTCCCATCTGAAGAGTTCATCGAATTCTTCAAAATAATTCTTGAAGGGGAAACCCTTTGGAACTCTTTCACTCTTGAACGATTCCTAGAAGCTAACCACAGACTCAGGATGAGTCCACCTGGTCATCTTCACCAAATTCCGCCTCCTCCCTCAATTCAGGGGATGTCATCTCGGGCTCTTGCGGCCAAGCGTAAGATGCTTTCCAAGCCGATGGCTGAGGCTTGCGAGGAGAAGAAAAAGTTTCTCGCGACTTCTATAGACAAGAAGGACTACAGTAGGACCCTGCTGGTTGATGATGGTAGCACCGAAGGGGCCAGATCTGTTGCTTCTTTCAGATTAACTCCTCGTCGCGATCGTCATGATTCACATGCTCCTCGGAGGGACCGATCTCCTCGCCGTGATTTACCTCGACCTCCCCGAGATGATTTTAGCACTGAACCAATTAAGAACTTGGTTCGCCGGAAGAGAGACAAGTCCTCTCGCAGTGATTCTTCCCCGCGAAGGGAAAAATCAAGGGCCTGGACTGATAGTTCACCTCGATCATCTCCTCCTACTGAACCAATGGGTCCTCCACGACCGGTTGATATGTCTTCCTCTTCCCAGCCTGATAGTGGAAAGACTGCCCGGAGCGCATCTCCGAAAAAGGGAGATTCTGAATCTCGAGATGCTTCCTCGGGGTTAAAACCTGCTCTTGTTCCCCAAGTCAAATCGCTCTCAGGTTTGGTGATTCATACGGTCTTTGACGTTTTATTTCCATTAAGATTCCGATTTTTACAACTCTTCTTCCTTCACAGCTATGGAGAAGGAAGGCAACGTTTTCCGGTGCTTCAAGACCCGATCGGGTTCGATCTTGCCAGACTTCAACAAGTGGCGCCCTGCGATCCGTGAACGCTATTTGCTTCATGCTCATCATTCATCCCGGGTTAGTTTAGTTTATATATTTTTTTTATTGCATTGCTATTCAGCGAACTGACTCGCCATCCCGGGTTTATGTATAATACCAGGCTCACGGCGAACTTAACGACATGATCGAACACTATGAAGGGCTGGTCCTTGGTCGGGAAAAGGAGATTGACGCGTGGAAGAAAAAGCTTTATGCTCTTGAGGCTGAGTTAAGCTCTTCTACCGGCTCTAAACACGAACTGGAAGACAAGGTCGACAATCTAACATCCGAACTGGCGAAGATTAAGGGGGAGCTGCAGGGCCAGTACGACCAGAACTTCAAGCTCCAGGAAGAGTTTTCTGGTGTTCAGGGTAGGCTTCAAGAATCCGAATCAAACGCTGATTCCCTGAACAACCAACTTATCGAGCTTAACGCGAAGTACAAGGCGATTGCCAAATTGGGTGACTCTGAGTTGGCGAGGTCGGCATCAAAAGCCAGAAAGGAGGTTAAGGGACGCGGGATGGAGTTGATCCAAGGGGCCATCCGATTCATGCAGACTGAGAAGGCTAGGTCTGATTTGGAATCAGACATCAAGGAGCACGAGAGCAACCTGATCCTGCTGGATCAAATTCATGATACAGATTTCTCCGAGGAGCAAGAAAAGACCGAACTGTCGGCTAATCTTTCTGAAAAGCGGAGTCGCTTGGCAGCTCTTCCTACTTCGACCTTCAACCCTCGGGACTTCGAGGAATTCTTCACTGAATCGCCTCCTATAAGTGAATCAGGTCTAGACTGCTGTCGGAAACGCGTTCGGGATCGTTCCGAAGTGGACATCAAGGACAAGGCGTCCACTTCGAAAGTTAAACCGGCGATGAAGGAGCCTGTTCCCGAGCCTCTTCCTTAAATGTTCCCTGCTTTCTTTTCTCTTTTTTTTTTTGAAACTCGTAATGGGCTTCGGCCCCTTTTTTATTTATGGAAACACTTGCAACTTTCCTTTCTTTTCAAATATTCTCGGAGATGCGCCTTTTAATGCAGGATCTGCTCGAGGGCATAAATCTCTCCGCGAATCACTCCATTCCTTGGATAGAATCCGCAGCTTGTTGGGAATATGACGTTCCTATAAATTATGGTCTCAATTTCCCTTTACTTCTCACCATTCTTTTCATTTTAGTAGGTATGGAGTTCAATCTTCGCTGTTCAGAATTTATGCCTGACTTCTCCAGAATCAGAATGGTGAGCGAAGATGTTCCAAATGAGCCAAACAGGCAGCCTCCTCCACCTCGCG